TCCCAATAATAACTGCATGCATAACTCATTTTTTGACTACTTTTAAGACATAAGATATTCAAATACATAGAGAACAGTAAACACACCTTAAACCCATATGCATACATCCTCCTTAAGTTATACAAATAGTTTATTTTATGGGCTAAAAAGTGAGAAATGTTTTTAAATATATTTTTTATATAATTTATGTTTTTTAATATAATACTTTGGAAGCATTCAAGGTGAGATGATTTTATTTTTAAGAACCTACATACCTAGACAGACAATTCTCCCAACCACACTTGCTATCCTCAAAGAAATTAATGGAAATAGGAATCTCACTGTGTAAGGTTAACAGCTTCTATAAAAGCAAAAAAGCTTCCCTAATGCTCCAAAAAAATAGAGTTTCTTGCAGGGACCTCTGACTTCTGCAGTGGTTCATGCAGTCAACTGCAAGGCCACCCTGAGCAGTTTAGGCAGCTAATCCCAGGTGCTGTCCTGAGGGAGCAGTCTGGGAGCAGCAGCAATGCAGCCCTTTGCTGTTTCCCACCTACAGAGTAGCAGCTACAGGAGCCCCCCTTTCTGAGCAGTAGCTGTGGGGGCCCCGACAGAGCACACAAGTTTTAGTCACAGGTATTATAAAGGACAACATATGGACACATCAGGGGCTGTAAGAGTTTTCTTCATTGCCTATGACCTGTCCATGACTTACTAAAAATGCCAACAACTAAATTGTAGGTATGATTAGGGTCAGCAATTTTGAGAATCCTAATTCACTGCTACAGTTATCTCTGTTTAAAATAATAATTTCCAGATGACCAGAAAAGGGCAAATATATTAACAGATTTATTGGAGCATAAGCTTTCATAGGCAAAGACTCACTTCATCAGATGCATGTAGTACTCTTTTCTTATGCCTGTATATTTATACATACCCCTGGAATTTCCACTACCTGCACTGACGAAGTGGGTCTTTGCCCACGAAAGCTTATGCTCCAATAAATCTGTTAGTCTGAATCTGCAAAAGCAATGAGGAGTCCTGTGGCACCTTACAAACTAACACGGCTACCCCTCTGATACTTGTCCACCTATAAAAAAGGGAAATAAGGACAATCTGGAGAATTGCAGGCCAGTCAGCCCAACTTCTGTTCCTGGAAAGATAATGAAACAAATAATTTGCAAACATCTAGAAGGTAAGATAGCTTTCGTAAAGGAAGGGGTTGTGTACATCAAATTTTGTACTGTGTAATATCATTGAGCAATGCGTTGAATGAATGGCAGAGGCAGTTCATCAACTTTATTGATTGAAAAAAAGCCTTTGAAAGCATTCATAGGGATAATCTTTGGCGTATGAGAGCATATGGAATACCACAATAAGTAGTACAGCTCATTAACAGCTTTTATAACAATTTCACATTCAGCATGGGGAACAATGATCTACGCTTAGAAGTTAAGACTGGAGTAAGGCAGGGATGCGTCAGGTCTCCAATGCTCTTTAACTTAGTCATAGATTGGGTTATGTGGTGTACAACAGAAGATGAGCCAACAAGCATCAGATGGACTGTCTTCTCCACATTAGAGGAACTTGATTTTGCTGATGACCTCATGCTGCCCTCTATACTCATTGTCATATGCAAGAGAAGACAAATTGACTTTGCACCTTTAGAAAACAGGTCGGACTAAGAGTTAGGCAGAAGTCATGACCCTAAATATTGAGGCACTAGCATCAGTTAAGATTGATGGCCACGACCTACCTGTACAAGAGAGCTTTACATACGTGGGTAGTATTATCAGGCAAGACGAAGGCATCAGAAGTGATATCCAGAGCAGACTCAGTAAAGCCAAAAATGTCTTGAGTCTGAATGCTGAAAGGAAGTCACAGTACAGTATCCATACCAAACTGAATTTTTATTAGAGCTGTATTTTATCAATACTATTATATGGATCAGAATGCTGGCAGATGACAGAATACAACCTCGATAAATTGTTGACTTTTCACACAAGCAGTTTGAGAGGATCCTCCATACTTTTTGGCCAAGAATAATTTCAAATCAGAACCTGCTTGCGCGGTATAAACAAGATTACATGGCTACCATCATTACGAAAAGATGCTGGAGATGGATTGGGCACGTGCTTAGGAAAGATGGAAGCTCCATCACAGACTGCTGTGCACTGTACCCCTGAAGGGAAGCAGAAACAAGGAAAACCCAATACAACATGGTGCCAAACTGCTGAAGTATGAAGAGTATGAATTACACTTGTGGCACTATTGAGAGGCTAGCCAGAGACAGACAGAAGTGGAGGACCTTTGTTGCTGCCGTATACGCAAGAGGGCGTGAAGGATGATGATGATGAGAAGGTAAGATAAGTAACCATCAGGATAGATTTGTCAAGAATAAATTGTGTCAAACCAACTTGATAACTGTTTTTGACAAGGCAACAAGTGTTATTGATGGGGGGAGGGGAAGCAAGAAGTGTGGTATAGCTTGACTATAAATCCAGTCCCCGAGTTACGAATGCATCAACTTACGACCGTTCGTATTTACGACCAACCTCCTATAAAGCCGGAACAAGAGTCATGAACGAAATCCGGACTTACGAACAGCGCAGCTGTAATGTAAGAGAATGTAATCTGACTTACAAACGAGTTACTTACCAAACAGTAGGTCGTAACTCGATCTGTTTGTAAGTCAGGGACCGGCTGTAATAAGGCTTTTGATACTGTCTCTCAAAAAAAAAAAAACCCTAAGGAAATACAACTTAGATAGAGCTACTATAAGGAGGATGAGTAACCATTCCCCAAGAGCAGTTATCAATGATTCACAGTCATGCTGTGGGTTCCCTCAGGGATCTGTTCTGGATTCGGCTGTGTTAAATATTTTCACCAATCATTTAAATAATGGTGTAGAGAATACTTATAGGGGTTGCAAGTGCTTTGGAGGATAGGATTATAATTCAAAATCATCATGAAAAACTGGAGAAATGGTCTGAAATTATAGAATGAAATTCAATAAAGGACAAATGCAAAGTACTTCACTTAGGAAGAAACAATCAGTTGCATGCACACAAAACGGGAAATGACATTCTGGGATGTAAGAAAGGAGAAGTAATGCTGCTCTGCTTTATGTTGATTAGGGCTTAGATGGAGTATTGTGGCCAGTTCTGGGCACCACATTTCACAAAATATGGACAAATTGGAAAAAGTACAAAGAGAGCAACACAAATTAAAGGTCTAGGAAAAATGATCTGTGAGGGAAGATTAAAATGCATGGGGGGCTGTGTCTACACTGCACCCCTTTTCCGGAAAAGGGATGCAGATTAGACACTTCGGAATTGCAAATCCATGGGGGACTTAAATATCCCCCGTGGCATTTGCATTTACATGGCTGCCGTGTTTTTCCGGCTTGGGGATAAGCCAGAGAAAAGCGCCAGTCTAGACGCGATTCTCCGGAAAATAAGCCCTTTTCCGGAGGATTTACTTTCAAGTAAGAATAAGAAATCCTCCGGAAAAGGGCTTATTTTCCAGAGAATTGCATCCAGACTGGCGCTTTTCTCTGGCTTATCCCCAAGCCGGAAAAAAGCGGCAGCCATGTAAATGCAAATGCCGCGGGGAATATTTAAATCCCCCATGGATTTGCAATTCCGAAGTGTCTAATCTGCATCCCTTTTCCGGAAAAGGGGTGCAGTGTAGACACAGACGGGTTGTTTAGTCTGAAAAAGAGAAGAAAGGGAACATAACACTTTTCAAGTTCATAAAAAGGTTGTTACAAGGAGGAAGGAGAAAAGTTTTAACCTCTGAGGATGGGACAAGGACCAATGGGTTTAAATTGCAGGAAGAGGTTTAGATAAGTTTCTCCTAACATTCAAACTCTCAGGGTGGGTAAGGACTGGAATAAATTGCCTAGGGAGGTTGTGAAGTTTCCATCATGGGAAAACTAAGAGTAGGTTAGACGAATTTGTCAGGTACAGTCTAGATAATTCTTAGTTC